GGTCGGTTCGCGGGTCGCTTATCAGGGGCCAGCACCGTCCGGCGTCGATCGGTTATCGACTGTTGATCGGATCGAACGGAATTGCGATTGGCTAGTCGCTCGTTCGGCGGTGACGGGCCCCTGCCCGTTGACTCAACCTTTGTGCAAACACTAACTATCTATCCTGCTTCCGAGAACGTCGGGCGTTTTTTTGACCGGTCTGGATAAGGGAATGCGAGATTCTCGCAAGGTTTTACATCTAGCGTGCTCACGCGAAGATCATCTATCTACGGTTCCTTATAGTGAAACTCAACCAAACAGACTTTGTTTTGGTTCACATTCAAAATTTTTGTACACGTTCGTGAGCGAACGAACCCAGTCTAGGGAAATAAAGTTTAAAGTGAATCGGACTAGTTCGTTCTTTTCGTACGAAACAGTATAAATAAACGAATATTATTGAAAACTACATAAGCGTACTATTTTATTAGAAAACACATTTCATACGTTTGAACCATTATTCTACACTAAAAGGCCTTCCACCCCAATATTAAAGGTTATATTCATGTTTTAATCTTGGGAGTCGGCAAGTAAAGAAACAAAATGTGTCAAACATTTCGTCGTAAACTACATTATATGTTCCAACAAAATCGGTGATTTATATTTACAAGGGAACTGTGGTAACCCGAAAATTCTGATTTCTTTTTTAAATTTTATTGGAGTGTAGGAGATCTCGATAGAAATATCAGACAATTTTTTGATATTCTTTAATTCCTTAGCGTAAAAGTATTCCTTAAGGGGGCATCCCTATATGTATTGGAAGGGTCAAAACATCAAATTTCTTTTATTGCATTTTCTCAGAGTACAACATCTTGAAAGTGTAGTTCTTAATATTCTACGCTTGAAATCGATGAAATGACAAAGTTATAATTATTTCAAGAAAGTGATGCGCCTTTAGAAACCCTAAGTGTAGCAAAAGTTTAAATACATTCTTTTCGAAACCATGCTTTACAAACTGACCGTCATGAATTCTCAATAATAAATCAACTAGTCTATCCTAAATTTCAGATATATATGTACATACGTATAAAATAGATATCCCTTTCTAGTCCTGAAGGAATATGGTTATTATTATAAATAACGAGACGTGAGTAGGGTTGCGCTAAGTACCCTCACGGTATTAGCACGATCTTTATTGAAATGGACTGTCGGCGTTGGAGGTCCGTGCCTGACTGGCCTCCTGACGCCTCGCTTTTTCTTATTAACTTTTACCGCAGTGCGACTTGGCGGGGGAGGTTTTTCCCCTGACGTCACTTGGCGGGCAGCTGAGTTTCCTCCAGGTCAAGTACTCGTGACCTGCCGGTTCGGGCCTCTGGGCCTCGTACGGCTGACCTTTCGGAAACCCTTGGTTTATGATGCGGCAATTTGCTATTGAGGCCGTCGGAGAAAGTTTCTACGCGGACATGCATTGTCGAATTTTTAGAAATTAAATAAGCTAAAAACGGTTTCCTCAAAAATAGCCTTTCAAGCGCGCACGTCATAAACCGTGCTGGTAGTCTGCTCGCCAAATGTTTTCCGCTGTAGCTGGTCGCTACAGTCCGTACTAGAATTATGTCAATGTCGGCAATAGTTTCTTTTTTTATGGCCTGAAGAAGTTAAAACCTTCACGATAACAATTTAGCTTTACACGGTTGTAATTTTATCAAAATACATTTTTTTTTTTTGCTTTATTAGAGTAGGGAAGATAACAACAATCATGCATTAAGATAATCTTTGATATTTCTGTTTCAAATGAATACAACAACGTGAATCGTGGCAGCCATTCAGAATGACACACTGCGAGAAATAAGTA